AAATCACCCAAATTTTGTATAAACTCAGTGGGATTGGATTCAATATTTGGTTCTAGCTACATCCATATTTGATCTAATTATGCCAAAATCCGATATGCCTGACTCAGATTGTAAAATTAATGGAAGCTTGTATTAATCTTGATATGAGCAGATATTTATATTGTATTACAGAAGACTCTAGAATGTAAGTTACAACTGAATTGTACATGTGGATAACAAATATAATACTCCCCCTCAAGTTGGAGATGGAGGAGGACCGACACCCAACTTGATTTTAACATGTGAAACTGATCATTGCCCAAGGCCTTAGTGAAGACATCCACTGGTTGATTTTTGGTGGAAATATGGGAGGTAGCAATGGTCCGAGCTTGGGTATGTTCTCGGACAAAGTGATAGTCAATCTCAACATGCTTTGTTCGCTCATGGAACACCGGGTTGGAAGAAATATGGAGGGCTACCTTATTGTCGCAAAAGACAGTCATGGGTTGAATATGGTTTAATCCAAGATCATGAAAAAGTCTCTTAAGCCAAATTAGTTCACTAATTAGAGCAGCCATGTAATGGTATTCGACTTCTGCTGAAGATTTTGAGATTGTAGGCTACTTACGTGTCTTCCAAGAAATAGGTGAAGAGCCCAGGATGGTGAAGTAACCTATTGTGATCGCCTAGTGACAGGACATCCTACCCAGTCTGAATCACAGTAGCCATGATCTAGTGTGGACTTCAAATATCTAAGAACATGAATTGCAGCATCATAGTGAGCTTGTTTAGGCTTGCTCATGAATTGGCTAAGCACATGTACTGAATATGTGAGTTCAGGTAAGGTAATTGTTAAATAGATCAACCATCCAACCAATCTTTGATATCTATCTAGGTGTGGAAATGGAGGTCCTTCTGCAAGAGTTAGTTGTTGTTGTTGAAGCATAGGAAAAGAACTTGGACGACACTCTAGCACGCCAATCTCAGATAAGATGTCCAGAGTGTATTTCCTTTGGCAAAGAAAGATGCCGTCTAGAAACCTAGAGATTTCAATGCCAAGGAAGTACCAAAGTTCTCCAAGGTCATTAATGTGGAAGCAGCTATTGAGATAATTTTTAAGTTCAGCTATCGATTGGAATCATTTCCGGCAATGATTATATCATTGACATATACAAGAACTGCCAAGAAACTATTTGGCTAAGAAGAAACAAACAATGTGCAATCAGCTGTAGACTGAAGAAAACCATGATGCTTTAATGTTGTGGCCAGTGTGTCAAACCAGTTGCAGGACGCTTGTTTGAGTCCAAAGATTGATTTTTGAAGATGACAAACTCGTGTGTCACCCATTGGTAAGAAACCCATAGGTGGCACCATGTAAACTTCTTTACGTAAGTTACCATGCAAAAAAGCATTACTTACGTACATTTGGTGAATACCCCAATGACGAGCTACAACCAGAGCTAAAAGACATCTCATTGTAACCAACTTTGCCATAGGAGCGTAGGTGTCGTTGTAATCAACTCCAAGAGTTTGGGTATAACCTTTGGTGACTAATCTGGCTTTGTAACGATTAATAGTCCCATCAAGTTTATGTTTGACCTTATATACCCACTTTCAGCCCATTGGGGATTTTCCCGATGGTAAAGAAGTTAGAGTCCAAGTACCATTTTGGGCAAGGGTTGTTACTTCATCATGCATGACTCGTTGCCAGTTAGGATGTGCAGTGGCTTCAGCATAGTTTTGTGGTTCTGTGGTGTTTAACAAGGCAGATGAATGGGTTGATGCTGAAGGCCCAATAAAATGTGATATGGGATGTTGTGTGCTAGGGTTTGTTGGACCATTGTATTGTAAGGTGGGACAGACAAACTCTTGGAATCGCTTGGGGGTCGAATGGGGCGGCTGGACCAACGTATAGGTGGAGTAAGAGTGTGGTTAGGTTCTACTTCAGATTCATTGATAACTGGGGAAGGGTCATCATGGGCTATAGCGGGCTGATAATTATGGGTTGTAATGGTATAAACAGGAGTGTCATCGGTTATGGGAAAAGGTACCATTGGTTGATCAGAGGTCTGTGGGGTATTTGGAATGTTTAGGGAAGGAAATTAATCCTCATAGAAACGAACATCCCGTGAAACAAAGAACTTCTTGTTATCAAGGTTAAACAACCGGTAACCTTTTTGTCCTTTCAGGTGTCCCATGAAAACACAACAATGGGCTCGCACAACAAATTTATCATGGGGTTTGCCTTGAACTCGGGTATAACATAAACAACCGAACACCCTTAAGTGGTTATATGTAGGAGGCTTACCATGCAGCTTCTCATAAGGGGATTTCCTATGCAACTGTGTTGTAGGCAAGTAATTTATCAATAAAGTGGCAATAAGCACACATTCACCCCAAAATTGTTTTGGAAGCCCAACTTGGAACCATAAGGCACGTGTCATTTCAAGTAAATGGTAGTGTTTCTACTCCACTACCCCTTCTGTTGAGGGGTGTCAACACATGTTCGCTGATGAAGAATGCTATTGTGCTGAAAATAAGTCTAAATGGGTTTAGACAAGAACTCAAGCCCATTATTAGATTTGACTATCTGAACCGAGGTGTGAAATCGAGTCTTTACCATTTTACATAACATAGTGCGAAATTGTAAAGTATCTAACTTACGTAACATCAAATAGACCAAAGTGGCTCAACAGTAGTCATCTACAATAGAGTGAAAATAACAAGCCCCAGAGTGGGATGACACCTAGTATCCTCCCCAAATATCACAATGAATAATTTGGAAAGGTGCAATGCTTTTATTATACCTAAGGGGAAAGGGTAATCTTGTAAACTTAGCATGATTACATGCATCACAAGATATAGTAGTTACAGATGGAGAAACATGCAGTTCTTGAATCAATGACAATCGATCATATGCACCATGTCCTAACCTATAATGCCACAATTGAGAATTAAAATCAATTGAACTAATATGTAAAGTTGTAGAGTTTGGTAGTCCAGTAAAGTGGTAGAGACCATCTCTCATTTCAGCCACTCTAATCAGTTTCTTGGTGGTTAGGTCCTATAGGACACAGAAGGTAGGAAAAAACAAAGCCACACAATTCAGTTGATTAGTGAGTTTATTCATAGATACCAGATTACAATTAAAATCCGGAACAAGGAGAGCATTCTCTCGATGAATATGATTAGTAATCTTGATAGATCCTTGAGCTTGTACAGGCACTGCAATGCCATTGGGTAGCTGGACTGGTTTACGAACACTAGCTGATTGTGTATCAAGAGCCATATCGGACTGTGCACCAATCATATGGTTTGAGGCTCCTGTATCTAGAATCCAACTAGAAGAATGTAAAAGTTGACAAGCATGAGCCTTACCAGCATAATTTGCTGAAGTAGTATGTTTTTTCTGAGTTCAAAAGATCCATCAGTTGCTGATGCTGATCAAGACTTAAACCAGCAATTCGAGAAACTGAGTTTGAATGTCCAGTTGTCTGAGTTGCATTCTTTGAAGAACTTTTGTCTGTCAACTTGAAAGATGAATATTTCCTTTTGTCTACCCAACCTGGTGGATAACCCAGGATTTCATAGCAGAAGTCCTTCGTGTGCCCATTGCACTTGCAGTGGTTGCATCTAAATTTCAGGTGGGTAGATTTATCTTGCAGCTTCGATGATGCAGCGGCCACATGTAGTGCTACTATTTTGATAACAGGTACTCGTTGAGACGAGAGACTTTGATGGCGTTCTTGTTGCATGATCAATGCATAAATGTGACTGACATTAGGCAAGGGATGAAGACTGAGGATGTGAGATCGAACAATGTTAAAGTTCTCACTCAATCCCACCAAGAATTGATATACTTTTTCTTTTTCGCGTTCAACAATGAATTCCTTTGCTACACCTCCACATGAGCAGCTTGGGATTGAATTATAGGTTGCTAGAACTTCGTGAAGTAAGCTAAAATAAAGAGATTCTCCTATCGGAGCAGTGCTAAGTCTCTCTTGAGTTGAAAGATTCAAGGGGCATTTTCTTATGAGAATCACTCTTCCAAATCACACCAAATCTCATGAGCAGAATCGACATACGCCACACTTTCATGCAATTCATGGGACAAGGAGTTGAAGATCCAAGAAATGACCATGGAATTGCACTTATTACAGGCCAGTTCTTGAATTTTTTGGTTTCTTGATCGTCCCCGTCCACGAAACCAAACTTGTTCTTGACGCACAATGCATTTCGCATTGTTTTGTTCCAGGTGAAGTAGTTTTCTCAATTTAATGGATAGGAAACCAAGATTGCACCTGGACTATCTGAAGGATGCAAAAAGAAAGGAGAGATTGAATCAGAGGTAGCATCCGAACCACCAGTTGTAGCATTGCCAGCCATTAATTCCGACGGTTTGTAGATACACAGAAAGAACGGAGAAAGAGCCTGAGGCGCTCTGCTACCATGTAAAATTAATGGAAGCTTGTATTAATCTTGATATGAGTAGATGTTTATAATGTATTACAGAAGACTTTTGAATGTAAGTTACAATTGTACACTTAGATAATAAATTATGTAATTCAGATAGGGTATACATTTAACTCAAATCTGCTTATTGTTTTGTTTAAAATAACCAAAAAAGTAAAAAAAAAAAATTATGTTTGATTTAATTTATACAATATATAAATATTATTGTTTATATGTATGTATATTATATATATATATATATATATACTTATAAAATAATAATTTTAATCAAACTTTAATTTTTATTGGATCGGATGTCGAATGGGGTGTTGGACTTTCCGAGTCCATCGACAGTCGTAGATGGCCTAGCCCCACTGTAGATCTCCCCACGAAGCAAAAACAATGTTAATAGAGCTGCAAATATCTAGAACTCTCCCGTCCTTCCTATCAATCCTTTTATACTTTCCACGTTATTAAAACCTCGAACCTTCTGGGTCTTCTTGCACTAGAAAAAACCAGATCAAACCATAATCGCCGTTCACGAACAAGACTACTACTATTCTCTCAATTCCTACTTTTCTAAATTCTGCATTCCACCACTATCTCGCCGATAACCAACAACGTAATAGCAGCCAACTTTCTTTGTTGCTTTCTTACTCTTAAAATCAAATAGGCTTGTTTAATTTGTTCACAACAGCAGAGAAAATGAGGTTGTCTGTCATCTTCGCCATTACGCTCCTCACGGTGTTGACCTCGTTTTCAGAGGCTTCACTGCTGCCGCTGCTAGACCGCCCAGGAAGTCTTCTGTCGGATTTCTGGGTAGACAGGTTCCCGGCGGATCCATTCAGAGTATTGGAGCATCTTCCTTTTGAAATCGACAGGGATGAGTTGGCCATTTCTCCTGCGAGGGTTGACTGGAAAGAGACACCCGACGCTCACTTTATCATGCTCGACATTCCTGGTAAGCTCTCTCTCCAAGGGATCAGAGTACTGTTTGTTTCTTCTGTTTGTAGGTAATGCAGATTAGTTGCAGAAACGGGTTGATCATTTTGAATCTTAATTAATGTAGGTCTGGAGAAGGAAGAGCTGAAGATAGAGGTGGAAGAGAACAGGGTTCTGAGGGTGAGTGGAGAGAGGAAGAAGGAAGAGGAGAAGAAAGGAGAGCACTGGCACCGAGTGAAGCGATCTCATGGCAAGTTCTGGAGGCAGTTCCGGCTGCCGAAGAACGTGGACTTGGAGTCGGTGAAGGCCAAGCTAGAGGATGGCGTCCTTACAATCTCCTTGGCCAAGCTATCCCCGGACCAGATCAAGGGCCCCAGAGTGGTCGGAATAGAAGGTGATGAGGGGGAGCAAGCTAATAAGCTGAGCGAGGGCAGCACCAGCCGTGCCAAGGACAAGAAACAAGAACTCTGAGGCATTTTAAGCTGGGTTATGTTAATAAAATAAGTGTAGTAGCCTGTATTCTCTAAGCTGATCACACTACAAGAAAAATGATCTTTGGCAACAGGCATTTCATTACAGTTAAAAATGGTTGTTGCCAAAAATTAAGCATTAACAACAATTCGTCCAGGCTGTTGCTAAATCAAATGAATTGGAAACAAAAATTACCTAATTGTTGCTCATTTTACACATAACTGTTGCTAAAACATTGAATTGGAAACAAAGCTCACCACCGTTTGCTTATTGCATATCCATTACTAAATTAGTGAATTGGAAACTAATGTGAATTATATTAAGCCATTGAATCTTTAGCAACAACCATTGAAAATTGTAGTCACAAACATATTTAATACCGGTAGGGGTGTATCAGGTGTTTCGATACTGTTTTTTTTTATTTTTTTCAAAACTGGTTCAGGGGAACCGGTCTAGGACCTCTCCATCCCCTAAACCGGTCAGACCCCCGATACACCCATTGTAGGGGCGTATCAAAAGGGTCCTGGAACAATACGTAACGATACTTCGAACCTTGTTTAATACATTGACAAATGGAATAAATAACAAAAATTCATTTTAATGAGTCAAGCTTGGATTAACTCCAATGATTTGATTATTTGACATCCAAGTAATTAATTAATCAAAATAGGATCAACTTATGACATCACAATTAAAATAATAATATATAGAAAAAAATTATTAAATAAGATAATAAAATATAAAAAATTGAAGAAAACATATAAAAATTATATTAAATATTTAAATATAATGATTAAGATGTTTAAAAATGTAGAAAAACACAAAAAAGGAAGAAAACTCAATGCTTTTAGGTTTTAACCTTTTATTTCCATTTTTGGAGTTCAATTACGATAACAAACTTAACTAGTAATGAGACCTTGAGGCAAGAATGATTAACCTCTAGGCTAATTTTTATCAATGTTTTAAAAAACTGAGTCAAAGGGAGGTTGAACTAATTTTGCCTCGAGGTCATGAGTCACCAGTGGTTTGACCATTTGGATCATATAGGTCAGACCATGGCACATCAACATATATATGGGAAATATCCCAATGCTTGTTTGGTTTTTACTTTTAACCATCAATGAACCAATATCATTAACCAAATTAATTAACCAACCATGGTCCTTGGGTCACAAATTACACACTAAATTAAACTTAAGTCCTAATATTTAGAATTTTTGTCTAAAAAAACAATTAAAATTAAAATATAATATAAACTACACAAAAATAAAACTTATATGTATACATGTAATTGACATGTTTGACCCACATTGGATATTTGGAATGTATTACGTACATTCCAAGAACTCTTTCTTCAAAATTTCCCTAAAAACTAGTAACCCATCAATTTTGGGTTTTTTAACTAAACATAAAATGAACTACAAGTGATATATATGAATTACCTGAGATGGTTGCCCAATTCATGTATCTATACCATTGCTCTGTTGGCTGCCTCTACCCTAACCTCTACATCTTTGGTTGTGCCCTTCATGCTCACAAATTGTACATTCATTTTCCTGAACCTTCTATACACATGGACCATATAAATGACTTCATTTGACTCCTTTTGCTTTCTTTACCCTACTTGTTTTTTGAAGGGTTATGGTTTGATTGGAATACCTTCTATCCTTGGCCATTGAGATTCATCGGGCATTGGTAAAATATAGTGGCAATGGATCCACGTAGTCATAAATTTTGCTTTGTTGTAACTAAAAACATGAAACCACATGGCAACATGATAGCCTTATTAGTGCCCAAGCATACACATGATCATAGGTATGCCTACTTCTAAATGACTTTATCTGAGATGCTTTTATCCTTTGCAACCAAGATGCATATACACATGAATCACAATTATCTTTTTTACAAGCTACTGTCACTCTGGTATCCTCGTTCTTTACATACTTGAAATCAAACATATTCATAATTGCATAAAACCTATTCTCCATTTTCCTATCGGCGAAAGCTTCAAATCAATGTCTTCCTTCTTCATTAGAACCATGTAAACTTTCTAATTCCTCTAAGTACTCATAATTAGATAGTATGCCTAACCCAATAATAGCACCAACATTATGAATATGAATTTGACATCTTGTGGCATCATTGCACTCCTTATCATCATAATCAACTTCAAGATCATCTTCCTCCTCACATTTTAATTCATAATTAGGATTATCCTCTAAATCAAACCCATAATCTGCTTTAAACTCATAACCAAAATCAAAATCATCATTAGCACAATAATCTAGTTCATCCACATGATCAACTGCAATTGGTAGTGGCTCAGCACTAGATGAACCAGCTTGTGATAGCTTGACTTTTGATAGCCTGCCTTATGACAACCCTATATCAGCTCTCTTACATCCCAATACGTAAATATTAATGTATCTATACCTCTCATGAACCCTACATTTCTCCTGAATATCCTCATCACATTCCCATTATCTAGGTTTGCATTGGGCTTCTTATAATATACTTCACCAACTACATTGTAAACAAGATCTTTTACCAATAGTTGTATCTCATTTAATGATAGAAGGTCACCACCAACATTTTGGTTCATGAACACATCACCACCACTATATATCATTGGTGGTATTTTCAAAAAGTAACTACCATGATGTATCTTAATAGTGTATATCTTACTTGACATTTGAACAAAAAGCAAACACGAATATCAATGTTAAAACCATATCCAAGTTCATGTTGCTTTACACTTCAATAAACTAAGAGATAAACAAAGGGAGACAACATTTAAGTGTAATAAAATCCTTCCTTATTTATTAAGCATGCTATTAAATAGAAGCTTTTGATTTCATGTTCATTGAATTTTGTTATGGACACACCACCCGGCAGCGCACTGCGGCATAGTCATAGGCAGCAGCACACACAGCGGGCCGCCCAGTAGCACGCACCGCCCGGTAGCCCGACAGCGCATCGCACGCACCGCCTGGCAGCGCACAGCACGCGTTGCTCGGCAGCGCGCAACACGCACCGCCTGGTAGCGCGTAGCACGCACCGCCGGGCAGTACGCAGCATGCACCGCCCGTCAGCGTGTAGCACGTATCGCCCGGTAGCATGCAGCACGCATCGCACGGCAACAACACTAGGCAGTAGCACGCACCACACGATAGCAGCACGCACCGCACGGCAGCAGCACGCTCCTCACGACAATTGCACTACGAGATGTGCACACCGCCTGACAGCAATAGTAGGGCGGGGCCCACATGACAACTCATCAGGGTGGGCCCACACTTATCTTACCACATCAGCGCTGCCCGCCAACTCGCCGCCAGCTAAACCATTCCTTATCCCTTATCCCTTATCCCTTATCCCTTATCTTATCTTATCCTAAGAGTGTGTTACCATTAGGAGTTTGAGTTTAATTAGGAATTTTCTTCTGTAATCTCCTATTTAAGGAGCTACGAATTGAAATAAAGGCATTCAGTTTTTTCAGTCAAGAAAGAGAGTGAGGAGAGTTCGGGTGGTCTCTTGGACAAATCACCCATTAGGAGAGTTCGGGTGATCTCTTGGACAAATCACTCACACGATTGCCACAATCGGGTTTGTACGCAAGGGTAAGGGCAAGGGCAAGGGAAGACAGGAGTCTCTCCCGATGGACCGACCCGTGACGAAATCCTAAACATGGTCCCATAACAAATTTTAACTTTGTAATAGATTAGGCGCTGAAACTGCCCCCCACCCCCCCAGCTTTGCTTAGTCCTGTTTGGAGTTAAGCCCCTCTGTCGTTGCCATTTTGTGAAACAACCCACCCTTTTCCTTCTTATTCTATAGCTTTCCCATATTTTTACATTTTCCTTTTATCCCTCTCATCCTTTCTACACATGCTAAGAAGGACAAGAAGACATGGTGGTAATAATGTAGAGAACTAAATTCATTTAGGTATATGTGGAAATCCACCACCATAACAATAAAGTTGCAGTAATTACAAGGTGGGAGATCAGGAGATGAAAATAACATTAAATAAGCACATGTTTTTCTAAACCATTGACTTTCAAGTTTTAACAAAAGTGTTAAAGACCCGAGGCTAACAATAATATACTAGGAATCTAACAATAGAGAAGTATTAAATACCCAAAACTAACAATAAAGAAGTGTTAAAAACCCAAAGCACACGTTTTTCTTAAAACAATATACTACGTACCCCTGTCGTTAGACAATATTTCAGTAAGGAGCACACATTTTTCTAAAAATAATATACTTCGTACCCTTATCTCTAGACAATATTCTACTAAGGACAAAACATAATAAAAAATGTGTTAAAGATAGAAACCCTATACCAAAAAAAGGAAATTTATCTGAAGACAATTACTAGTTGTCAATACCCGATTTTTGTTCGGTCCACCACCTCAACCTTTAATTCACCCTAAATTTCCAATCAAACATTATTGATCTCTCCGAAACATCTAAAAACACAAAAATCCCAGCTTTCAGGCCAAAAGCCCCCCAATCCACTGTTAAACCTCTCTGATACCGATCTAATGGCCCCGATCGACCCCCATTTACACTTAAACCACTAAATTAGACACAACCATCAGACTCGGGACCTCCCAAAACACTTAACCATGAAATTTCAGCTCAAGATTTCTCTATTTACCTCCTTATTAAACCAAGATCCCATTGACTTAAATTTCTACGATCTTGACCCCCCTCAACAAATTAGACATTACCACCAGATCCCGGATATCCTAAAATACCCACCTGTAAAATTGCAATTCAAAACACCTCCATTTACCCTTAATCATACCTAGATTCCATTTAAAGGCTCTAGATTGACCAAATTTCAAATCTACATGATCTGGACCCAATTGGCCCAATCCAAACTTACAAATCACCTCAAACTACACGAAAACCTTACCTTGTGAAATTTCACCCAAAGCAAACCTTGTTTAACCCTCGATCACACAAAGATTCCGTTTCAAGCCCCCAAATTAACCGAATCAAGTCCTTTTCAGATCTTCCCAATCTAGACCCATTTGGCCCAATCTGACCCCACCAATCAACCTAGAATGTCCAAAAACCCCACCCCGTGAAATTTCAGGCAAGAATACTTTCA